GAGGAAAAATCTGGGACAGAGTGGAGAATGAGATGACATTGTCTGAAAAGAAATGTTCTCTTTAGCTGATTATATAACTGTAACCCTTCTGTACATCACATGAAGAAGAAAAGATCACCGATAGAAAATATATAAACAAGAAGAAGATATGAGAACTAAACAAAGGAAAAATGAGCAAATCTCAAGCCAGGTCTCAAGGCTCCTCTAACTTTTTCTCTCGAGGAATGGTACATTGACACCTTCCAGAAGGCAAGCGAAAAGAGCAAGACAAACTCCCTTCTCAGTGTCCTTCTGTTACCATCATTGTCATGGCTGGAGAGGCTCCTACCACTAACTCCTCCTCTAAAATGTTCAGGGGGAAACATCTTAGACGATGTTACCAAGTCTGCATTCACTGTAAGATAATTCTACATATTTACAATTGCTGTAAATAATTATTTACAATTATTACCAAAAATGGATTTTAAAACTCCCAGATATCTATGGTATAAATTTCTACGTGGTATAGGTTTTTATGATGATAAGCCAGAAGTTCTACAGGCCACGTCCAGTAGGAAGACATTTAGAAAACTAGAGCAAACACTAGAGCTATAATGTGTTCTGATGGTGTCCGAATTAGGGTCTAAAAAACTCTGCCTTAAAGACGTGTTCTTTAAAAATCCACAGTGTGAGCTCCAAAGTTGTAGCTCAGAAGCAGTTTTTTACTAACAGAAAAGGCAAATGACAACTACTTTCAATTACTTCAGCTTATCTTCTCCTCTAATAAATCTCAAGTGATTCAGTCTACCTTAAGTAAAACTGGTCTTAAGGTTCGCAGGCTGATAAGCTCTTCTCACACACAACAATATACATATTCTCTTGGAGGTGACTTCTTTCTTTTCTAAAATGCTGTTCAAGTTTTTTTTATAGCTCTTCAGGATTACATGTGGAACCAGGACTATAAATATGTATAAATGTGCAGAGGCTCTGTAGAATGCCTCTTATCTCATTTATATTTCTGAAGTTGTATAAGATAACCTTTGTGCCTTTCAAAAATATCTTCTCATACCCCAGGGGGCAAATTACCTCTATTTTCATTTCCTTTAAAGTTAGATCATTTTATAATTAAGAACTTATTGAGGCAGACTCTTCCCCTGTGCAAGCTACTCCCTGGGGAGTAATTTATGCTGAGAGATTCTGACGCGATATTATATAAGCCAAAACCTATACAATGATACTTGAAAAATTCTAGAGCGTTTCATAACAATCATAAACAATCTACTCTCTGAAAGGTAACTGCATAATATGCAAGCTCATGATGTAATTTGTAGGTTATTTTCAAATGACAAGATCTTTAACAAAGGAATACTAATCTGGCTTGTCATATTTCTTATCCAACAACATTAGAAAAACTGGTTAACGGTGATGATGAAGGTTGAAAAAGATTTTGTATCTCTACTGTTTCTAAGGCAGGTTGACATAAAATATCTATTTGATCCTCACAGATCTATGAAGCTTGTTGACAAAGTTTTACTTAAAATCCACAAAATGTATGTTCAGACATTTTTATCTTGGCAATAGCTCTCATCATTAATAGATTAACAAACAGAATCCAAGGGACCAGGGCAGGATGACATCAAATATCACTCTTTCTCCATCCCAAAACCTTGAAATTCATGAAATCTGAAAGCTAAGCAGCTCTGAAGCAAGTAGACATATAAGTATTTTAGGTGATGATGTCTTCTGATCTTTTTTTATTGTTAGCTGCTCTGCTGCTGATCTTAGAACAGTATAGGAATTCAAAAAGTGTACTCTTGTTTTGTACAAGTCAGAGAATGGGTTACTAAGCAAACTATCAGGAAAGGGAGCTGATTTCTGGTTATCATTTCTCATGGACGCTCAAAAGTATCACCAATATTAATTCTCATTAATAATGTATGCTAAGTATACAAAACACTGGGCTTTCCCAACACCAGTGGATTATGTCTATAATCCTAAATGCTTAGGAGACTGAGATCTGAGGATTGTGGTTCAAAGCCAGACCAGGCAGGAAAGTTCATGAGACACTTATCTCCAAATGACCAGCTACTATTATTACAAAAAAATATACCAGAAGTGGAGCTGTGGCTCAAGTGATAGAGCACCAGCCTTAAGCATAAAAGCTCAGGGACAGCGCTCTGGACCTGAGTTTAAGCCTCAGAACTGGTACAAAAATGACAACAACAGCACTAGGCTTCATGGTGATATTTTCATGCATTTATACAAAGTCCTTTTCTGCTCATATTCACTCCCCTCCCCCCCATCCCATCCTGAAGTTTTTGCTTACAATGACAGCTTGAAGTTTCTGTGAAGGATTTCATTTTGGAAAACTTAATATTTTATCCTAAAAGCTAAATATTATCTTTTAAAATGTAAAATAATAAGGAAAAAAGAGCACAATACCTTGTGTTTAATTATTTTTGTATATTTGTTTTGCATATCCAGTGCAAGATTAATGTACAAAGGTCTATTTTACATAAATGCTTTAGATTGGGAGAAAATAGCACGTCTAAGTACATGTCATTTTAACTACCAAAAACACTGAAATTATGGCATTTTAAATATTGTCTATAACGTTGACTTAACCTCATCTGTCTATAGGGTTGTACATATAGGTGCCCATTAAGACATCAAAGAAAATCGCACACATGCAAGATGGACACTTATGCCCACAACTTCCACCAATGTCCCACCAGTCTTTACAGATGTACTACTTAATCCTACTCCCACACTAGAGAACTGGAAGCCATCTTCAATTCTTCATCCGTTTCCATCCTTCCTTTCCCTTCTGCTTTTGAATCATCTCTGTACATGTCTTCCTCTCCCTTTGTCCAGACGTTCATTCCCTAACATCCACATCAACAGGTTAGCCTGCCCAACACACCTTTTCTAAATAACCTGTTTAAGCTACCACATTCATCATTCATCATTTCATTACCCTGTTCGCTTTGCTTATTCTTATGACAAGTGAGATGAGGTAGAATACTTCCTTTGGCCTAATATCAGGAGCTCTAAAATCTGACATCATTCATGCCACCCAAATTTTCATTATCACCCTGTTGCTATACAATTACAAGTCATGATCATTCTTTATCATTCAGGTCCTTTGTTTTTCCCTTCAATTTTAACCAAATCCCAGACAATTTTCAAAATGAAATGGTTTCATCATCAAGTAAAGAGTTCCAACCTAATACTTGGTACCCACCGAAATAGGTTTCTTTTTTATTTATCCATTTAAGTTCTCTTTAGTAATTGGATGATTAGAATTATGATCATATCTTTCTCTGTCCCCTTAGCCGTCAGTAACTTAGTGGACAGACAGAGCATGCTCGCTAAATGTCAGGCTGATTCATTATTGACATTCTCAGTATTCAGCCACATCATGTGTAAAGTCATCAGGTACCCATGTCCTAGCATTGTTTTATTGACATATTTAAATGACATATTTTATTGACATACTTAAATATTGTTGAGATAGGCCATGTGAGTTTTATTTTACATAATTAAGATATTGCTGAGCAAAGGCCACATCAGACTCATAGTAATTTAATATTTCAAGTGCAATATAAGAAATCTAAATCTCTGGGAAAGAGCGAGGGAAGGGTTGACATTGTCAAAAAAGGAGAAATGTACCCCTATGTAACTGTAACCCCTCTGTACATCACCTTTATAATAACTTCTTTAAAATTTAATTTGTAATAACTCTTTTTAAAATTTAAAGAAATCTAGAACTGTGTCTTTGAGAATTTTTTTTAATTTCATTTTATTGTAAAGATGCTGTACAGAGCGGTTGCAGTTACATGAGTAATGAGTACTTTTTTTTTTTTTTGTCAGTCATGGTGCCTGAACTCTGGGCCTGGGCGCTGTCCCTCAGCTCTTCAGCTCAAGGCTAGCGCTCTACCACTTTAGCCACAGCACCACTTCCAGCTTTTTCTGTTTATGTGGTGCTGAGAAATCAAACCCAGGGCCTCATGCATGCAAGGCAAGCATGCTACTGAGCCACTGAGCCACCTTCCCAGCCCCTACATTTCTTGTCTAGCATTGTTACCCCCTCCTCTGTTTCTCTCCTACTATCCTCCCCCACAAGTTGTAAAGTTCATTTCCAAATAGTGTCTTGTGGGTATCATTACAATGGTCATCTTGTGTCTTTGTTTCAGCATTTTGTTATTCTCCTTCTCCTCCCCAAATTAGATAAATGTATATACAAGATTCAGGGTACCAAAATCAAATAAAGTTACAACAGGGGATATACCATAGAGGGAAGAACATACAAGAGAAACAAAAAAAAATCACATAGTACATTAAAAACACCAAAGAGAAACAAACCTCTTGTGTCCATATCTTGGGGAATTTGTGTATGACATTATTTTAAGGTCAATTTTACAAAGGAAACAAACAGGGCAAGTGGTAGACTGCTGGCCTAACCATCACAAGACCCTGAGTTCAAGTCCCAGTACTGCCAAGTAAATTAAAACTGGAAACACAACTTTAGAAAACGTTCTGCTTTCTAGTCATGTTATTTCTTTGGTATGAGAATAATGATGGCGAATGAATGTTTGCTCATGTTGAAGACGCGTGGGAAAGCCATTAAGTAAGCAATGTGTGAAGTCACTTATAACCCTAGCTATTCAGTAGGCTGAGATCTGAGGATGGCGGTTCGAGCCCAGCTGGAGCAGGAAAGTTCTATGAGACTAAAAAAGCTGGAACTAGGCCTGTATCTCAAGTAGTAGGGTATTAGCCTGGTGAGCAAAAGATGCTCAGGGTCAGTGCCCAGGCCCTGAGTTCAAGCTCCAGGACTGGCATACACACACACACACACACACACACACACACACACACACACACACAAACACACGTACACACACACAGAGAGCAATGGGTGGCATCCTCAAACACAAACGTAGCATGGATGAGCGGGGAGGGCAAAAGCAAGAAAAAGAAGGCAACGTCGTAAATGCTGAATGTCTGTTTTCCCCTTTCAGCACAAATTGAAGTCATACCATGCAAAATTTGTGGCGATAAATCCTCCGGGATTCACTACGGCGTTATCACGTGCGAAGGTTGCAAGGTAGGGACTTGCCCTGCGCTGTCCTGTGTTGGCTGGGGTGACAGTGCCCCCCCGGGGGGTGGCTGGGAGGATGCTGCTGTGGGGTGTTTGTGCCCGCTGCTGACACACAGAAATTCTGCCTGGTGGGGGGGGGGTGATTTTTCCCCTTCTTTTGCCTTGTACCTGCTTGTTGGTTTGTTTTATGTGGCAGGGGGGATTGTTGTTTTAATGTCTGTCTGAGCTGGTTGGCAGATTCTGAAGAGGGACTGTCTATTTAAAGGGTTGAATTATTCACATTTACACAGATATAAACTCCTGACGCTTGCTGTTCTTTTTTGTGGGTTTTTTTTTTTTTTGCAGTATCATCTTGAGTAAATCCTATGCACTCATAATAGAACTAAAGGTTAAAATCAAGGTTATAAATTCCGGGGCAGATATTTGTGTATCTGCTTGAAGAACAGGACATCCCGGTGATGGCTGAAATATACATAGCCATCCTTTTGTTCTCCAGGAAGCACAGGATGTTAAAAGTAGATCACAACATCCTTAACGCCATTCCAAGTCACCGTGGCCAGCCTCTTCACTTCTCTATGCCGTCCTGAGATTGATGTCATTGATGGAGATAGTAAAGAGCCGATGAAACCACAGTGGTTTTCACACTCAGTTCAATGTCCCCCACAGGCAGATGCCATCAACCCAATGTCAAGCTCATGCATCTGAGCAAAGGCCACTGGAAACACGGAGCTCAGGGAATAGCCCTTTGTCATAGACCTAGCCCCAAATAAGACACGTCTGAAATTCAGCAGGCAGTTTGTAAAAACTGTGCTTAGAGGGGAAAGAGCGAGAGTCTACATCTCAGGGGAAAATCAGAACAGCTCACCAAGGAATAGCAGCTCCATCCGGGAGGACCTTGGGGACTGGCTTGGCAACGTTATTGGCAGGCGTGATTATACTTTCAGTCAAATGTAAGAAAAGTGAATCCTTAATTTAAGGTCAGTTAACTGAAGGAGATTGAGTGTGGTTGTTCTAGGATCCCATCTTGTTTGTTTGTATGTCTGTTTGTTTTTAATGAGACAAGGGGTGTCACTTTGTAGTCAAGTTGTCCTGAAACTTACTGTGTAAAAATTAGGCAGAAGCTATTCAAGGATAATTGGGGGGATGGGGGGGCGTAGCTAGTGCTGGTGATTGAATCACGAAGGAGATTCAACCTTGTGCACACTAAGCAAGTACTCTACAGTTAAGCTACATTCTCAGTCCTTACAATCCAATGTTGATCTTAAGATGCTTTCAAGAGTAGATGAGATACAGTATCTGTCAGGTAGTATTTAACTATGTCTTCATAAAAGTCTTAAGAACCAAGTATGACTCCTGAAATTGAAACTGGACAGAAAAGCAAAGTGAAAGAATAAGAAGAAAAGTGAAGGGAGAGAAAGATGCACTCACCAGCCTGCTTAAGAAACAGTTTGTGATTGCCCATATGGGGGTGTCATGGGATGCCCCTTGCAGTCTTTCCTTTCCCACAGACCTGTAATTAAGAACTGTACACTGCCAGGCAGCAGTGGTGCACACCTGCAGTCCTAGAGACTTAAGAGGCTGAGAACCGGAGGATCAATGTTTGAGGCAACCCTGGCAGAAAAGTCTGTGAGACTTCTATCTCCAGAACCACCAGCAAAAAGCAGAGCTGGAAGTGTCACTCAAGTGGTAGAGTAGAGCCAGTAGAGCAGCCAAGACAAGTAAGAACACAACACCCTCAGTTCAAACCCAAATCCCAGGGAAACAAAAAAAGACAAGAAGTAAAACCATGTGTTATCCACCTTCGTGCGGTTGTTTCTGACTCATCAAGAAGAAACAACAAAGCAAAAGCAGAATTAAAATCAACATGACAATATCCATTCAATGTTAATTAAACATTAATTAAATAAATAAAGGCAGGTGTAGAAAAATGGTTTTCCTCATAGACCCTTGTCCCTTTGGAATCAGAACAACTTTGATCAGGCTCTGAAATTTCAAGAGTGGTAGTCTAGTTGACATCATATGCACTAGAAATGGAGGGAGTGTTGTTTGTTTGGGGGTTGTTTTGTTTTGTTTTGGTAGTGAGGCTTGAACTCAGGGCCTGCACATTGCCCCTGAACTCTTGCTTTCAAGGTTAGCGCTCTACCACCTTGAGCCACAGCATCACATCCGGTTTTCTGGTGGTTAATTGGAGATAAAAGTCTCATGGACTTTCCCGCTCAGGCTGGCTTTGAGCCACAATCCTCAGATCTCAGACTCCTGAGTTGCTAGGATTGCAGGCATAAGCTACGGCCTCCTAGCTTTAGAAACAATCTTAAGATATAATACCAAAGCAGAACTATTTGGTGCTTCTTTACATAACCTCTAGTTGAAACATGTCTTATTCCAAAACATGCGTCCATCTTTATGTTAAGGAGAAAATATTTGAAATAGTGATTTGCAAGATTTAAATGCTGGACAAAAATAACAGAACATATTAATAGCTGAAGACAAGTGTGATCCTTTCCGTTTAAAAGAAAGGACCACTACTAGAAATTCTGCTATGATGCTGTAGACCACTCTGAGGTTTTAGTCAAAACAACTATTTCCTACTGCTCTTGTTTATTTCACAGACAAATCGTACATTTTAAAATATGATGCATTTTCTCCAATAAAAAAAAAATCTCCTTCAAGAAATCTCCTTCAGTATTAGCTATTCATGTCAGCACATTCTAGATCAACCTCTGCGTTTTCATAATAGTTTTTGAGTCAACATACGCAACCCATTTTCAATAATGCCAATTCAGTTCATACACATCTTCAATGCCTATTTATTCAATAAAACGTGAAACAGAATATCTTGCTCATGCCAAAAACTACGTGCAATATGGAGCAACAGATAAGAGAAGCAAGAAATGACTCAGAAGTAATATTACATTGGTCTTAAGTTAGGGCTTGTAGTTGGGACTTCACTTGAATCTTTTTCTGCCAAATCTTGTGCTCAAGTGAATGACAGCATTCAAAGATTAAAAACTAGCCAGTTCTTCCTTTTTAAAATTTTTATTGTAAAGATACTGTACAGAATGGTTATAGTTACATGAGTAAGCTAATGAGTCCATTTCCTATCGAGCATTGTTACCCCCGCCTTTGTTTTTCCCCTACCAACCCTTCCCTCCCCACCTCCCCAACTCCTCACCCCCCCCCCAAAGTTGTAAATTTTGTTTTCAACACACTGTCTTGTACATCTCATTGTTACAATGGGTCAGCCTGGGAAGTGGCGCTGTAGCTCAAGTGGTAGAGCGCTTGCCTTGAGTTGAAGAGCTGAGGGACAACGCCCAGGCCCAGAGTTCAAGCCCCACGACCGACAAAAAAAAAAAAAAAACAATGGGTCAGCCTGTGTCCTTGTTTCAGCATTTTGTTATTTCCCTTCCCCTCCCCAAATTTGAAAGTTATATATACAAGATGCAGGGCATCAAATACAGTGACAAAGGGGTTATACCATAGAGGGAAGAACATACCAAAGAAACAAAAACAGTTCTTTCTTACAACATAATTTTCAAATTCTCTTCACTCTAACAGTTTTCATGGTTTAACTTCAACCCCCGGGGCTTATACGAGGTCTCTATTTTAAGGGGCTCCATGAGTCCAGTTAAACTGAACAGTTACCCATTCTGCCATCACTGGTCCAAGTGAATTACCAGTACACACGGAACAGGGAACTGAAACTGCTTCCTGCTGAATGGTGTTGGGCTTGACAAAACCAGGGGGCTGTTCACTCTCTGAGGGATCCCAGGCCATGGGGCCATTGCCAGGGCTCATTCCAGTCCAGCAAAACCATCTTCACAGTGCCGAAGTCCAGCCACGTTGGAGTCCAAGACCGAACGAGAATCCGTACATCAATCCTGTCACTCTTCCAACTATTGCTACTTTTGTATTTGTATCTAATTTTAACACATTATGTTGGAATACTGTTTTTACTGAGTATCAAAAAATATTTATAGAAGCCAGCTGGGACAGGAAACTCGTGAGACATTTCAATTTATCACCAAAAGGCTGTGGCTCAAATGGTAGAGTGCTAGCCTTGAGCACAAAGGGACAGCTCTTGGGCCCTGATTTCAAGACCCAGGACAGCTACCCAACAACAACAACAACAACAATAATAATAATAGATGGTAAATCCAATGAATTTTGGTTCAAGTGAGCTTTAGTTAAATGTTTCCAATTTAAGAGCGGTATATGGTCCATCACAGTTCATCTTGTACCAGGACCAAGCAGAAAATGTTTGTTTTGGTTTTACATTTATTGTTATTGTTGTTAAAAAGGTCGCATTCCATTTTTTAATTACTCAGAGATGTGGTTGATTTAAAGATACCTCCTTTGGTTTACAAAGCAACTTCTAGATATAGCTGACCACACTGACTTTTTTTTAATGGAGGAAAAAACATCCTAGAAACTAGGAAGGCTGGGCACCAGTGGCTCACACCTGTAATCCTAGCTACTCAGCAGGCTGAGATCTGAGGATCATGGTTCAAAGTCAGCCCGGGAAAGAAAGTCTGTAAGACTCTTATCTCCAGTAGCCACCAGAGAACTACAAGTGGCACTGTGACTCAAGTTGAATAGTGCTCACCTTGAGCTGAAGAGCTCAGGGTCAGCGCACAAGCCCAGAGTTCAAGCCCCAAGACTGACAAAAAAAGAGAGAAAAGAAAGAAAGAAAGAAGGAAAGAAAGAGAGAGAGAGAGAGGGAGAAAGAAAGAAAGGAAGAAAGAGAAAGAGAGAGAGGGAAGGGGGGAGGGAGGTTAGGAGGGAGGGAGGAAGGAAGGAAGGAAGGAAGGAAGGAAGGAAGGAAGGAAGGAAGGAAGGAAGGAAGGAAGGAAGGAAGGAAGGAAGGAAGGAAGGAAGGGAGCTAGGAAGGCAGTAGCACATATCAAGCACTCACCCTTCAATGATTAAACCCTCGGTACCTCAGCACCTGGTCCTTGTCTTGGTCAAGTTGTATCATACTTAGTTTCCCAGTGGCCCATTTCTTTGTCACTCCTCTACCCACCCCCCTCCCCACCTCACCCCCTGCTACTGCTCTCTGGAGCAGAAACTTTGTTTTCTCTGCCAAGATCAGCATAGTCCATAATGTTTGCAATAGATATTCATACAAATGCATAAATGCATGCATGCATGCATGAATAAATGAGCAACACCATCATACCTCTTCAATAATATTTATTTCCCACACAGGAATATCTGTGACATATTCACAGAACTGTGAAAATTCCCCTCAGTTATGTTCACTCCAGAAAATGTAACATGGGTGTACGTTCACATTTCCCTTCTTATGAGCCTTTCTCTCCCCTTCTCTTGTTCCCTGTAGGGTTTCTTTAGGAGGAGCCAACAGAATAATGCCTCTTATTCCTGCCCAAGGCAGAGAAACTGTTTGATTGACAGAACCAACAGAAACCGTTGCCAACACTGCCGACTGCAGAAGTGTCTTGCTCTAGGAATGTCGAGAGATGGTGAGCCACTGCCTTCCACTCCTTACTTGAGCATTTCCACATGGATGAGTCTTCACGAGAGATTATTGCAGCCACTGGAAGAAGTTTAAATGTGGGAATTTGGGATCCCAAGAAGGGGGGTGGGGAGGAAAAAGCACACCGTGCTGGCGCAGTGAATTAAGAAGGAAAGTAAGGACACGGGAAAGGGAGCGTTGTCCAAGACCTAAGAAGAAAGGGGGCATGTAATGGTGGCTTAGTGCAGCAGCCAGTGCCAACCAGGTGAAGGAAGGGTTACCGAGGTTAAAAGTGAGAGTCTCTTCGCGTGTCCTTGGCATGGGAGACTTGCAGAGCTAAACCCAGAAAGGGACGGGCAAATGGGTCCTTTACCTGGAGGGGTCTGAGTGGTTGGTGCATGGTTGCTTCATGCATACTAAAACAGATCGTGCGTCTATAGGAGGCTCAGAAGTTCGGCTGGCTAGTCCCAGATGCGCACACAAAGACCCGGACTATTCTGAGTCATATTGAAGCTTACAAAGGAGTCCACATCTTAGAAGGCTTGTGTAGGTGGTACTCCTCAGCATGTGACACAAGTCTGCACTCCTCCGTTATGCCCAACCAAATTGGGTGGCCTGGATTCCCAACCCAAGTTCTCCCATGAATGAAAGAAGCTGAACAAACTCAAGATGAACACATAACGTCCCCTGGCTTCTCTTCCATCCTTAGCCGCCCACATACGTTCATTCTTTCCTAACTCACCTCCGGCACCAGCTCTCCTATAGCAGATTATAGACTGGCCCTGAGTCTGGGGACATTTCTGTCTTGTTTCCACTGAACCTGGAAGGGTTGATTATAAGCAAGCAACTGAGTAGTTGCTGAATGAACCCAGAGTCAGAGATACAAACCAGGCCCCTGATTTTCACCAAGCAGAGCATTCTCTACCCCCAGTCACATTCCCACGACTGAAGGTGAACTTCAAAATAATACAATTTTGTTTAAAAGAAAGAAAATTCCAAGCTTAAAAAAAATAATCAGCATACCTTGTTTCTGGATATATGTTTCTAATGAATTAGAAACATATATGTTGCTAATGAATTTTTTAACCTTTTGCTCTATGCCCAATCAACCTAAATTTGTTTTGCATTTAAGTACACTTGTAACAAACATGACTCCCTTCAAAACAGTGAGTAGGAAATAGTCTGGCCTTGAGACCTTTAGGGTTTAAGTCACTTCCAAAGCTACAGAGATCAAGTTTTCAAACTTTTCCTATTAACTATTATTTTCACTGCTTCTTTGGAGCTCACTCATTACCTAGATGTGTTCTTGGAGCAAAGTTATAGTGTTTACACACTACCATAGTGTTTAAACATTAAAGTTCATTCATGTTCTTCAACATGAAAAAGAAAGTAGAAGGGAGCTAAGTCGTTCTCGGGAGTCAGTGAAAATCTTTGGGAAGAAGTATATTCATCTTTATGAAGTATATTAATTGAAAGTATCTGAAAAGCCCTATTTACAATCGTGCAAAGAGATAAGCCATTTTGTGTCTTTATTTTTGTTACTTCTTCCTACAATTAAGAAACATCTCTTCTCTAGAAAGGCAGCCCGTGTGGATCTGTGATGCTGAACAAAATGATGTGCAGGAGTTAACTGGTATAAGCCAGGCACTGGTGGCTCACACCTGTGACCCTAGCTACTCAGAAGGCTGAGATGAGAGGGTGAAGGTTTAGAGCCACTCCAGACAAACAAATCCAAGAACTCTTATCCTCAGTGAGCTAGAGGAAAAAATGGAACTAGAGGAATCACTTAGTAGGACATAAGCCAAGAGCGAGAAAACCAAGCAAGAACACAAGGCCAGGAGTTCAAGCCCCAGTACTGGCACAAAAGAGAGAGACAAAAGAAGTATAGCTATAGAGAAAAAGATGAAGAGAGGGAGGGAAGAAAGGAGGGAGGAAGAAAGGGAGAGAGATTGAGGCACATGCCCAGGATAGATTTAGAAATTCAGTAACATCAGCCCACCGAGTCTAGCAGAATTCCAAATGACATGATCATATATATATATAATATGTATTATATATATAATATAATATAATACATATGGATTTACCTAATGGAGAGAGCTATAAACCATCCTCGAGGAGGAAGAAAGTCACTACAGCACATACACCTCTAATCCAGTGAAAGTAACAAATAGGCGCAGTGGGAGTAAGGATCATGATTTGTTTCAACTGTAGGTGCAGAGATGCTGAAGCTGGCAGGAACACTTTTCAAAATGTGTCCTGAGCACGGAAGCCTCAAAGTAATCATAATGGGAAAAGACTACAGGAGGCAGTGGTTGAAAATGTGAGAAAGAGGGCTCAGAAAAAAACATCTATTAAAAAAAGCAATTCTGTGGGGAAAAGGCCTTTTCATTATGTCATAGAGGAAATTGGTCAGAATATGAATTATAAACAGTGTAACTAATCTATGGAATTAGTAATGATGTAAGTTTTACATCTCAAATAAATATACTAATTTCAGGGAGCCTTGACGGGTGGTATGTGCGGCTAATAAGCCATGCCTACTACATGGTTAGGAAGCTCTGAAGGTGAATTTCATAGAATTACAACTGGGCCAGGTGGCTATCCTCACCACTCAGGAGGCTGAGACCTAGAGGATTAAAATTCAAGGCCAGTTTAAGCAGAAAAGACTTTGAGACTTTATCTCCAATTAACCAACCTAAAAGCCTGGCTGGAGGTATGGCTCAAGTGGTAGAGCACCAGCCATATGCAAGCAAGCCAAGCAAATGTGAAGTCCTGAGTTTAAACCCCATTACAAAAACTGAAGATACATAGATAGCAAAAGAAAAGCATAACAGATGGAAATTCTCTTCACTTATTAAAAAAGTACCTTCCCATCTACTGATTAAAAAGCATTTTCAAAGTCTTTTAGCAATGGTATCAAAGCCAAGGTAAGATGGCTCACTCTTAGCTTCTTTCTAGAATCCCTCAGAGATAAAGTAGCATCTTCAGTTTGGTAAGTGCCCTTGCTCTCTGTCCCCTGGGCCTGACTCTGAGACTATCTGTCATTTAACCATGCATATTTGCCAAGGGGTCATTTAGTAGAGTGTAGAACTCGTTCATGGAACTATGGATTTATCGTTTCGCTCCTCTGAAAACTTCCACTCCATTTAGAATCCCACAATCCACCTTCCAATGAGATGACGTCTAATACTTATGCATAAAATTGTTCTTTGCTTGTATGGGATTGAAATGAGGGTTCTGAGCATAGCATGAGCAAATGCACGATTGCTGAATATTTATAAAGCACTTGTATACAGAATCATGCTGGTTTCTTTAAGAGGTAGCAGTTTACCAAGGGGCTGTCTCTAGACTGGAGTGAATGTCATTAACAGAAGAACTCAAGTTTGAGAAAGACAAACAGTTAACAATATGTGCAATTCTCATCAATTGGCAGTGCTAAGAATCACAAATACTCGGAAAGGTGGCCCTTGACAAAGTAAGTGAAGAATATAACCATTCTACTCACAGTGACAAGGAATTGTTTATACGTCAGGATATGTGGGCAGGTATATTTTTACCACGTACTATAATTTCTCCCCAAACATGCCATCATTTTTGTTGCAGGGTAAGGAGTATAAAACCGAAACCCTGGTTTATCCGAAGGTTCCCATGTGAATGGAAAATTCATTCTAGAATACTGCTGCTGTCACTGACAACCAACTCCTTCATTCAGGATGCCGCCTAATAATCCTGAAATGCAGTAGAACTTCGTTTCCTTCTAAATATTCCAGTGGCTCAGTGACTTCATAAGTCGATCTGATGGGGGGGGAAAAAAAGCATTGTTTTTATCTGTTGAGGCTTCAGATTTTAGCAGGATAAAGCTCTTGCCAGTGCATTTTTTGTACCTCATTAGCGCTAATTACGAGAACTATGGGAAACAGCGCAACGTCTTCACATGTGGGCTGCAGGGCAGTTCGGTGGCTGTGCTCATACATAGCCTTGCTTAAATGCCAGAGCAGAAAAGGCTCTCCCTCCCATGGTAGTCAGCCGGCTAGCTCCAGCATGCCCTTGCCTTGGGGAGGTGTCCAATCCCATGAGCCCTTGTCGATGTTCCATTGACCCAGGGCGAACCATGTGACTGTAAGTGAAGGGACGAGCAATCCTCACACAGGATGAAAGAACACAAACTATGGACAGGGAAGGACACAGCGCCAGACATGAGATCACCAGTGTAATCAGTCTGCGGCACAGTGCACGGCCCTTACATACACTGAAGCAAGAATGAACGCGAAAGAATGCCTAAGCGGGATTGTGTTTCCACTGCTCTGTGGGACCGATTTCTCCTTCTCAGATTTTAAGTCCTCTAATTTTAGACAAACAAATGTAAACCTGTACTGCTAAAAATACGTCCGAGAGTAGACCTACCGTTGCCAAAACAAAAACATGTTTTTAGGGTTGGTTTGTTTTTGTTTGTTGGTTATTAGCTTTATGTATTTGTACGGAGGAGTTTCAATTCAATATGTAAATACATCTTGATCAAAATTTGGAAATGGGTCTTGTTCACTCCTACAGCTGCATCAAAGAGTTGTTCTGAACCTACATAAATGCAAAGGAAGGAAGGAAGGAAGGAAGGAAGGAGGGAAGGAAGGAAGGAAGGAAGGAAGGAAGGAAGGAAGGAAGGAAGGAAGGAAGGAGGGAAGGAAGAAAGGAAGGAAGGAAGGAAGGAAGGAAGGAAGGAAGGAAGGAAGGAAGGAAGGAAGGAAGGAAGGAAGGAAAATGTTACTTTCTTGGTGAAGAGAGAGGAGGAGAGAGGGAGGGGAATTTCCTTGGAAACAATATTATTGTTCAATTTTTCTCTATTAAACAAACCTTTTCCCCTAAAGAATAATATGTAGTTAATGATTTGGAAAGATGATAAGGTAAAAAGATAGATTTCCCTGAAAGTTACTGTAGAATTCTGCTCAAGGAAAACTGGCAGTATCATTACAATTAGTAGACAAATTTGTCTCTGCGAAACAAATGAAGGCAGTGTCTCTACAAACCAAGTTAAACACAATGATCTAAATGATTCAAGATCCAATCAAAGCAGCAAGTAAGATGAGAAAGGAGAAGTAATCAGATTGTTTGTCTTCATTCAGAAAAAATTGTTAGATAATAATCACTTTGTTTTCCTACTTAGGCAGCCTCAGAAACAAGTGGGATTTTTTTTGGGGGGGGTCCGGTCGTGGGGCCTGAACTCTGGGCCTGGGCGCTGTCCCTCAGCTCTTCAGCTCAAGGCTAGCGCTCTACCACTTGAGCCACAGCGCCGCTTCTGGCTTTTTTCTTTTTGCTTATGTGGTGCTGAGGAATCGAACCCAGGGCCTCATGCATGCAAGGGAAGTGCTCGACCACTGAGCCACCTTCCCAGCCCCTGGGATTTTATTTTTAAGAAACATTATGGTGAAAATAGGAAGAGTGTGAACTTCTCTAACCCCAGCCATCACATTCACAGCCCAAGCAGACACGGGGGAAAACACAGGTCCCCACATCTGGAAATGTATGCCACCATTCCATTTGCTTCCTGTTCATCAGAACTTGGTCATTTAGCCCCAACTCTTGTGAAGAAGGCTGGGAAATATGGTCTCCATTCTAAACTGTCTCAGCCTGGATAGAATTTGGTAGCTCTCTACCCAAAGGAAAGAGAATATGAAATTTTGGAGGAGTCTGATAGGGAGTAAGTAGCATGGACATTTGGAGCTAAAAATGGTCAACACTTGACCCTAAGTTACTCTCAAATGAGTACAACCTTAGTGACTAAATCCAAGAGATAGCTTTATTTCTGCTTTCTACATCCACCTTTCTGTGTAATGTGAGATCCCAGTAGCCCATGCAAACACTGTCACCAAAGAAGAGAAAACCTCAGAGAAGAGGTTCCTTTTGATTGGTCCAGGGTCCCACAGATAGCAGGAGCTGTGAGGAGAGTGGAGAGTTGGATGTTTCACACTGGGTAGTTCTGAGCCCCAGGATGTTCACGTGCTAAAATGAGAGTTGACAATGTGCCAGGGAAAATGTCAATTTCCTAACCGATCAGGAGTTTGAGTTGCACGAGTTAAAGAAACAGTGTGTTGCAATGCCATCCTCTTTCTACCACGCTGACTATTTGCCAAGACTCTTCCTCAATTTTCCTCAAAAGAGTTGAGGATTTTGCTGCAAGAGATGAGCAAAGAGACGAACACAATCAAACTTTAAAAAAAAAATTGCTCAAAGAGATGAGCAAAATCAAACCTGAGGCTGGCAGAGGGAGGGAAGGCAGCAACCGTCAGCTTGCTGGCTGGGCACGGAACAAAATTGCTGTTTCCCAGGGATTCTTATCATTTGCTCCAGACTGACATGCCACTGAAAGCCAATGCGGTGGTTGACTTAAAATTGTGTTTTAAACCTACCCTGCATTCCTCATCTTTCCTAGCATATTATGTACACAACCGTGCTAAAACCACAATAATAAGGCTGTTCCCAAGAGCCTGGTCACCATAGACGTAGAGGAGAAATTTAACAGAAAGGGTTAATAGACGTTTTAACCGTAGATCCAAGTTGATCATTTTGCTGAGTGTAGGTTTTAGTTGTGTGAGTACTTTTTTCACGAGTGGAAAAGAATAAGCAAATAGGTATCTTCTAATGCCAGGACTATACCAAACACACACACACACACACACACACACACACACATTTAAATTTCTTGTCTCTTAAGGATACAGTTTGGATCTTAGATGTCTCCCAGGGACCTATATTGTAAAGACTTTGGAGCCATGGGGGAAGATGGGGTTAGGGGCATTAGGAGTTCTCAGGTCACCTGGAGCAAGCCCTTCCCCAGCATCAGAAGACCGGAGCCCCTTCCTTCTCTCCTTAGCTTCCTCTTCGGGGAGTGTGAACGAACAGTGGGTTCACACTCCTCGCCTAGTGTTCAAACCCCGTGGCAGGCCCCAAAGCAACAGGTCTACCTACCCATTGCGGTGCAGAAGCCTGGATTCACGGCGAGCCCACAGAGACCCGGTTTGCAATAACTAGGATGTGAGTGGGAAGGACAATCCTTTCTCTTTTTCAGATCCGTTGTCCGGGGTGTTTGTGACAGTTGATGCAAAGCACACACACGCACACGCACTTGCACATACATGCACACACGCACACGCATGCACACACGCACACACGCGCGCACACACACGCACACACACGCACATGCACACATGCACACACGCACACCCATGCACACACACGCACATGCACATGCACACACGTGCACACACGCACATGCACACACAACACGCACAGACATGCACACATGCACACACGTGCGCACGCATGCACACACTCACACATGTACATGCACACACATGCGCACATACATACGCACACGCATGCACACGCGTACACGCGCACACACATGCACACCCGCGCACACATGCACACACATGCACACCCGCGCACACATGCACGCACATGCACACGCACATGCACACGCACGCACACACGCAGCCAGGGACCTCCCTCTGCGTTACACACCAGGCCAGGCGCTGCCCCACGCACAACCTGTGCTCCCAATGGACTGGGCGTTGAAAGGATGCGGTCCAGCCCAGGCCCCGCTCAGCGCCCGGGCGGGCAGGCCCCGCTCAGCGCCCGGGCAGGGCCCAGCCCAGGCCCCGCTCAGCGCCCGGGCAGGGCCCAGCCCAGGCCCCGCTCAGCGCCCGGGCAGGGGTCCGCCCCAGGCCCCGCTCAGCGCCCGGGCGGGGTCCAGCCCAGGCCCCGCTCAGCGCCCGGGCGGGGTCCAGCCCAGGCCCCGCTCAGCGCCCAGGCAGGGCCCAGCCCAGGCCCCGCTCAGCGCCCGGGCAGGGGTCCGCCCCAGGCCCCGCTCAGCGCCCGGGCAGGGCCCAGCCCAGGCCCCGCTCAGCGCCCGGGCAGGGGTCCGCCCCAGGCCCCGCTCAGCGCCCGGGCGGGGTCCAGCCCAGGCCCCGCTCAGCGCCCGGGCGGGGTCCAGCCCAGGCCCCGCTCAGCGCCCAGGCAGGGCCCAGCCCAGGCCCCGCTCAGCGCCCGGGCAGGGGTCCGCCCCAGGCCCCGCTCAGCGCCCGGGCGGGGTCCAGCCCAGGCCCCGCTCAGCGCCCGGGCGGGCAGGCCCCGCTCAGCGCCCGGGCGGGGTCCAGCCCAGGCCCCGCTCAGCGCCCGGGCGGGGTCCAGCCCAGGCCCCGCTCAGCGCCCGGGCAGGGGTCCGCCCCAGGCCCCGCTCAGCGCCCGGGCAGGGGTCCGCCCCAGGCCCCGCTCAGCGCCCGGGCAGGGGTCCGCCCCAGGCCCCGCTCAGCGCCCGGGCGGGGTCCAGCCCAGGCCCCGCTCAGCGCCCCGGCGGGGTCCAGCCCAGGCCCCGCTCAGCGCCCGGGCAGGGCCCAGCCCAGGCCCCGCTCAGCGCAGGGGTGAGCATGGCCGCCTGACCGTTGGTGCTCTCTGCTTCCCTCTCGCACGCAGCGGTGAAGTTCGGCAGGATGTCCAAGAAGCAGCGGGACAGCCTGTACGCCGAGGTGCAGAAGCACCAGCAGCGGCTGCAGGAGCAGCGGCAGCAGCAGAGCGGCGAGGCCGAGGCCCTGACCCGCGTGTACAGCAGCAGCCTCAGCCACCTGAGCGGCGAGACGGGCGGCTCCTTCCACGCCAACGGGCACGCCATCGACCTGCCCAAGTCCGAGGCCTACTACAACGTGGACTCAGGTCAGCCCTCCCCGGACCAGTCAGGACTGGACATAACTGGCATCAAACAGATCAAGCAAGAACCCATCTACGACCTCACCTCCGTCCCCAACTTGTTTACCTATAGCTCTTTCAACAACGGGCAGTTAGCTCCAGGGATCACCATGACAGAGATCGGTAAGTGCCGGTTTTCTCCTCCGAGGCCTCCGTCCCCTTCGGCCAAGGCCTTCTTGGCTTGGGTCTAGCAGCCACCGTGGCTGCTTCTGCGGGGGGCTTCGGGGTTGTAAAAGATGAACTCGGGAGGCTGAGAATGGAGGATCGCAGGGGAGGCCAGGCTGGGGGGCAGAGAAGGCTGGGATCCCCAGTGAACCCCTCCAAAACCAGCAGCGGAGCTGTGGCTCAACGTGGTGGAGCTCTGGCTTTGAGCAGAAGAGCTCAGGGACAGCGCCCAGACCCTGGGTTCAAGCCCCACAATTGCCAACACATACCTTAACTACTTAATCCTAAAAATGGCTATTTGGTACCTTGCCCCATAAAAGTTGATTTTAAGTAAAGAGAGAAAAGAACTAACTGTGAAGAAATAACAGGCGCTATGTGTTGAATCTGGTTTCTTACTGGTCGGTATCAATAGGACAACTTCAGCAAGTATCCAAAATGATGTTGTTCAGAGAGATTTAGTGAAAACATACAGAAACCGTGTGGAATAACCAAATGAATAGTAGCTCACCATCCCTCCCCAATAACTGCACACATAGATCAAATACACAGTGCATCTGTTTCTTTCTGTGTGGGAGGGGTGGAGCACAAGACTGCAAAGGCTCTGCCAATCTGCATTAAAGAACGAATATACATGGGGTTCTGAACTAACACAGTTAAGAGAGGCTGGTCTGCCTGTTCTAGAACACAAGAATGCAGTTCAGGTAGTCACAAGCAAGACTGCATAGCATCAATGTGGTCTTCGTCCGGCCATAATGCCTTTCCATTCATAGGGAGTGATCATCAAGGGCATCCTAGCTCTCTTCTGACCTTGTGTGCTTTGTTCATCCCTCACAACTCTCCTCAGTAATGGGATTGTATGTCCACTGCAGTCTGGAAAAACTAGACCAACAGTGGTCACACTTAGTTCCACCACTCAGGCAGGGTGATTCCAGAGTTCTCATCGTGGTCCATCCATCAACCTGCTACTTGCAAGGGGTTTAAGTGGAAGCACCTAATCTTCCTAAGAGAGAATGTAAAAAAGAAGGAGTGAGAGAGAGAGAAAGAAAAGAGAGAGAGGAAAGAGATAAAGGAGGGAAAGAAATAAAGAAAGAGAAAAAGAAAGAAAGAGAGAAAAAGAGAGAGAGAAAGGAAAGAGAAAGAGAAAGGAAAGGGAAGGAAAGCAGGAAGGCAGGAAGGGAGGAAAGGAGGGAGGGAGGGAGGAAGGAAGGAAGGAAGGAAGGAAGGAAGGAAGGAAGGAAGGAAGGAAGGCTACCATCTTATTTTCATTTATGTTACTTAAAATCTAAGTTCCCCAGTCTACCCTTTATATAGAACATAAATAAATTCCAAATGAATTAATTATCAACAATGGTTGGACAGCCTTTGCCCTATACCCTGAAGGGAAGTCACTTAACTGTCCAGAAATCATGGTTTATTTGTAAGTTAGCATCAGTACAAAGTATTATGGGAAGAGAAATACAGCAAAAACCATCAAATGCAATTACATTGTCCTGACAGTACTCCCAAATTTAGCAAAGTCCAAAGCCTAAATAATGGCTTGGATTGAATTCTGTTAAAACAGCAATGCCACCTAGTGGACACAAACCCATTTCATGAGTATCTACCTAGGGAGATACTGCTGGACTATCCAAACAAAATCCCACTTATTTCACTAAAAGACTAAGTTCTTAGCCAGGTACCTCTGGCTCATGCCTGTAATCCTTGCTACTCAGGAGGCTCAGACCTGGAGAATGGTCATTAGGAGACAGTTTGGGCAGAAAAGTCTTCAAGATTCCATCTCCAATTAACCAGCAAAATGCCAGACTGGAAGTATAGCTCTAGTGGTATAGCACCAAGCTGGAAGCAAGTGAACTGAGCAAACATGAGACCCTGTGTTCAAGATCAGTATAGCCAAACATACATACACACACACACACACACACACACACACACACACACACACACAGAGTTCTTAACAGGACTGTCAGAAAAACATTACTGGTATAGAGTATTGGTTAAGTTCTGAGGTCAGACTTCCAGAGTTTAAAACCTAGTTGTGTCTTTTCCCTTGGGAAACTCACTTGTGAATGCTTGTAAAGTTGCATCTACTTGTAAATGTCTTACGTGTAAATGCTCATGACTTCTTAGACAACACCTGTCATACCTAAGTGTCATTATGTAATAATGTTACTGATATTATAGTTATTGCTTGATTAAGTTCACTAGTAATGGCCTGTATTTAATTCTTATTAAAATCTGAGTATGAGTTGAGTTCCAGCGGCTCACACCTGTAATCCTAGATACTCGGGAGGATGAGATCTAAGGATTGTGGTTAAAAGCCAGCCATTTCAAGCAAATCCTGGAGACTCTTATCTACAATTTACCAACAAAAAGCTGGAAGTGGAGCTACTACAGCTCAAGTGGTAGCCTTGAACACAAAAGCTCAGGGACAGCACCCAGACCTTGAGTTCAAGCTCCAGGACCAGCACCAAAAAGAAAAAAAAAAAAACCTGAGTATGTGTTACATATTGGTCTGCCCACTTTTATATGTGGTTAAAAACAGAGAACACATTTGGTCCAAGAAACATCAAGCCCCATTACAATGTATGTCTTCCCATCAAACAAATGAAACTCCTTGCAAGCTAATTGTTCTAGGTGATATAAACTAGAATTTGTAGAGTTTGCATGTGGACATTTCAGCTTGATTTGATTTGTAAGCATCAAAATCCAATCTAGTTGATAACAAGTTGTCCCAGAAAGAGCCCTGCACACATCAACAGAAAATCGAATTCAAGATTATATTACATCGAAGAAAATTTTTAACATTTTTCTTGGCTCCTAGAAATCCCGATATGCCTTTTCTGTTTTCTGAGGAAGAATGAAATTTGTGCTGCAATCAGATTTTTATACTAAGATTGAATTATCTTAACACTTTTTTAAGACCAATTTTTGGGATGTTGGAAGAGTCAGGGATATCACCCCACAAAAACACATCTTTCTGTAAGTGGCCATAGGAATTCAGACTGCCTAGGTTAAGATTCCGATAATAATGGTTAGTTTAGGAAGGAGAATGTAGAGAACCCTTTCCTGCATTCTGGTCATTTTTCAATGTCCACCAACACATCCTGTCAGCTGTAAGTAAACCATTCTCGTGCAGATGAAGTAAATAAACCATTTTCTTGCTGATAAAGAAAATAAGAGCTAGAAGCCATAAATAGGGCACAGAGTTAGTTCACTAGCAAAGCTGAGCTAAGTCATTTCACGACCCTAAATTTCCAGGCAAGCTTTCCAAATTAGCTTTTGAAATGTTCCAATCACTCAAGACAAACAGGCTTCACAACTTCCCTGGGCCAGGGACACCTGGCGAAATTAGTAATTGTGATTCAAATTTTCGTGGGTGGACTGAAGGCATATGGCAGAGTGTTTGCCTTGCATATACAAGCCTGCAGTTACTAATCACAGAAAAGAAACTTCGGCATGCATGATTAAGAGGCGAATGGGACCTCGGGTAAGGGAGGTATGAGAATCCATTATCCTGAGACACCTCTCACAGCAGGAAAGTTTTCTTTTCAAACTTTTGAGAATAGCCAAACAAAAGTACAGAAGAGAAAGTAAAAGCCATGAAACATTTCTGGAATTACATCCTTGAGGTCTTCAAAATCCCCAAGGAGAAAGAAGCCATCAAATCACAGACAGAAAAAAAAAAGCTGCAAATTAATATTTAGGCAGTAGTACTAATAGAGCTTGGCTGGAAACTTCCTTCAGGCCCACATGATGGATGCGTTGTATCTTCGGGAATAAGATTTTGCTGCAATTGGTGATAGAGAAAGGAAACTAGCTAAGAGATATTCAGCAAACGAGCAACGGCCTCTTCCTTTTTTGCTTCCCTGTTATAGCTCTCAGATGATCGAGGGGGATTCTGTGGGACTAATACTCTTAATGAAAGCTCATTTAGGCTGAAAGGTGATTGACAATGTCTCTGGGAGGTATCAGACAACAAGACAATTCAAACAGCTGAGCAGCATGCTTTCATAAAACAAAAATATCTCCATCAAATTAGCTATGATGTTGAGGGAATCAATTACCCTTAACCCATACCACCTGGCGGTTGGTAGTAGGCTAAGCAATCTTCCTTCCAAAAGGCAGATGTCTATTTTAGACAAAAATGATCTCATTGATGTTGTTCTATATAACGTTAAACATAGATTTCTTTTTAGTTTCCTTTTGTTTTCTATGTTATAAAGTCTGGAGTTTTAAATAGCAAAAAAAAAAAAAAAAATAGAAATAGGGCTGGGTACGGTGGTACAGTTCTGTAATACCAGCTACTCAAGAGTTGGGGATGGACTCCTAAGACCCTAAGGAAATAGACAAACAGACCATAGGTAGATAGACAGATATAGATAAAAGTAAAAAAAAATTTTAAACTAGAGCAAAACGTTGACACAATGCTTGTCCAACAACTACAAGGCCCTGAGTTAAAACCCCAGTAGTGCCCCCCAAAAAGGGGAGGGGGGAAAGAAGGAAGCCTCATTTTTCAATGTTACTTATTGCAGAAGCTGATGATTAATAGCTAAAGAAGATTACAGAAAGAGGTTGGCTTAGAAGATACCTGCAGCTTGTTATGGTACTATTTTCTGCTCAGGGCTACATAGAAATGTAGGCGATCTCACTAGTGGTGTTTTATTTTGCTGAATTCTATAAAAGCGGACGATGGTTCCATTCTTCACTATTAAGAAACCCAAATGGGCTGTTACAATCTCCTTTTATGACTGGTGCAGAAAATAGAAACGAGGGGAAGCCATAGGGTTTGGGTGAAGAGAGGACTGCTGGGAAATCCTGAAGGACGCTGGAGAACTTGCCTGCGGCAGGAGCCAGTGAGCAATCTCTCTGGGAGTCTGGTGGCAGTGACAGGTAGAGCTCTCATGGGGTTAAAAAGAGAAAAAATCACCCCACCAATGACACAGTTAGTAACCACCATC